TTTCCCCCCCTGCAGCTGCAAATCAGGAAACCAGGGTATAAAACAACTTTGAGTAAGTAGGTGGAATAGGACCAGTGGCCTAGCAGCTGACAGGGAACAGGAAGTTCCTCCTCCCCTTTCTTTCTACCCTCCCTTTCTCTCAAGAAACAATTCCCTCCCAATCCTTCTCAGCTGGGCTTTTTTTGGGGGGAGGGGGTAGAGATCCTGGTCTAAGACTCAAATTTGGTATCAGATGCTTTCTCTCATTGGCTGATGCTTTGCCACATGAGCCAACTTCCAACCCCTGGATCCTTTAGGATCCTCCCACTGGCCTGCAGCAGCTTTGACCCCAGGTCCAGCCATTTCTTGGACTTTGAGAGGCTCTGGGCCTTGGGGCCCCTCACTGAGGCTGCTCAGGGGACAGTAGCCATGCTGACAGAGGTGGCCAGTGACCATCATTGCCTGCTAGCTGACCTCTACATATGGTGGGCCTGGCTGCAGGTAGATGAAGAGAAGGAGGAATAAATTTGTAAGACCTGAAAGCTTGGAGTGGAACTCATTGGGAGAGTGCTTGCCTAGTGTGTCCAAGGCCTTGGCTTCATCCCCAGTCCTGCAAAAAGAAAAGTGGAACCTGACTTACCCTCTAGGCCTCACAGGCTACAGAGCAGACAATAAGTCCATACTCACCTCTTAGCTCAGTACCTTGGTCTTGCTGCCCTTCATCAAGACATCTTTCTCTATGGGGCTGGGAAGGTGACTCAGTGGTAGAGCGCTTGCCTTGCATGTATGAGACCCTGGGTTCGATTCTTCAGCACCACATAAGCAAAAAGAAAAAAGCTGGAAGTAGCACTGTGGCTCAAGGGGTAGAGCGCTAGCCTTGAGCTGAAGAGCTGAGGGACAGTGCCCAGCCCCACGACCGGACCCCAAAAAAAAAAAAACATACAACAGCAAAACATCTTCCTCTAAAATAGGAATTCCTTGCATGGGGTCCAGGCAAATGAGGATCCACCCTTAGTGTCCCTGGGATACTAAGTACTTCACTTTGTCTATAAAAGGGACACGACAGTCCAAGCACTGAGTGGGCAGCCTGTGCAGAGGAGATGCCCAGCAGTCAAGGGTCTCCTGTAACCTTGGAGCCTTCAACTCTTTGAGGGTAAGACTGTGCCCAAGACTGAGGGCTTACCCTAGTAGGGATTAGGATCTCATCATGCCCCTCCAAGCATTATTTCATGGCTACATAGCTGACTTTGAGGTCTGAGACCAGCTGCTGGGTCCAAGGAAGTTCCAGGACACTGGAATGTAAGGACTGAAGTCCTAGCACAGATACTGTGGAGCATGGCCCTGAGCTCCTGCCCTGCTGGACCTGGCTGGCCTCTCCATCCAGGAGCCTAAGATGACCAGCTTCCAGGAAAGGCAGTAAGGATGAAGTAGTCCTGTGAGTGTGGAACTTACAGGGTGCTCAGAACCCTCCTGCCCACCAGGTTCTTCCAAGACAGGGGAAGAGGCCTCTGAGGAGGTCCAATTTTCCAGGGAAGAAGCAGCTAGGAGCAGAGGGAGGAACCTGAAGCACAGGCCCCACAAGAACCCTGTATATGTAATGGCCCATCCTGTGGTCCCCACTTCTGAAGCCTCCTCCTGCCCACTTGGCCATGTCTTCCTTTTTCCAGTTTCAAAGGTCACGGCCATCCTGTTAGTCCTACTTGGGGCCCTCTTTTGTCCCCCTCCAGTCTGCTCCAGCTCTACTCCCTGCCTCTCTCCCCCTCCTTGTCCTTTCCTAGTGCTCTTGAAAAATAATCATAATCACAATAATTAATAACAACATGGCCCATGGCAGGCCTGAGGCAGCTCTTAAAGAAGAAACACTCATTTTCTCCTGGCTGAGCTGGTGGGACCTCTGCAGGTCCAAGAGGTGGCTGTGGTGCCACCATGCCTTTGTTCCTGCATCCTTCCTTCAGCTTGGGCTTGAAGGGTGGTGTTGCTTGCACCCTCCATCAGGCACTGGGCCTCCTGTATTTTAATTGAACTGTCTTTTCTTAGAGATAGATGTTTCGCCACATCCAGCTGCTCATGTGTATTGGGAAACCCGCCTGTAATCCAGTTCGGCTAAATTAAAAGACGCAGCAGCTGGACTGATTAAACAGGGAGGGGAGATTTGGACAGAGCGGGCAGGGAAGGGGACATTGCTAATGGCACCCCCCCCTTTTTAAATAATGTTTCTGGTAATGCATTTGGGAGAATGTGAAAAAAAAAATAAAAAATAAAGCCGTAGAAATGTTAATGATATCCACAGGACACTCAGCAGGAAATGAGAGTGATCTGGGACTAATAAAAGCCGAAATGTAATTTGTGCAGATATACGAGGGAGGTGCAGCCTTCCGAGTGGTCCTGGGTTTGCGCATTCTGGGCTCATAAATGCACACCCAGGGAGGCCAGTGAACTGGCTCTGGCTTTGGAACGGGTTTGGAAGGGCTCTGTGCCAGACCTTGAACCTCAGGGTGGCCTCTCTGAAGGGGGCAGGGGCGGGGCAGGAGGCACAGGGCTGCCCCACTTGACTAGGAGCTGCCATCAGCTCCTCCTCCAGGAGTGTTTTGCTTTGTTTTTGTTGGTCATAGGGCTTGAACTCTGGGCCTGGGCACTGTCCTTCAGCTCAAGGCTCAAAGCTAGTGCTCTACCACTTGAGCCGCAGCGCCACTTCCAGTTTTCTGGGTGGTTTATTGGAGATAAGAGTCTCACGGATGTTCCTGGCCGGGCTGGCTTTGAACCGAGATCCTCAGATTTCAGCCTCCTGAGTAGCTAAGATTATAGGCGTGAGCCACTGGTGTCCAGCTCCTCCAGTAGTGTTTTATCCAAGCTGCCAGGTGGGGATTGAAGCAGGTTAGAAGGGCAGCCGCTACTTTGTGTTGGGGACAACAGCGATGAGCCCAGGGAAGGGGAGGCAGAAGGCTTTGACAAGCTGGTACTTGCCTTGGGGGCAGCTGGATCAGGACAGATGACTCTGGCAGCAAGGGATGCTTCAAGTTGGCCTGCTGAGACAAGTGGGGGGGGCTTCTGGGGGCCATGCAGCTGACCTGGACGTGTCCTGCGTTACTGGACTGTGGTCTCTTCTGTCCCCTTCTCTGGATTGGTCCTTAGACACTGAATGAGGATGTCATCTTTGATGGGGTCCAGACCAAAGGAGAAGGGTGGGTAGACCTCCCTTTTCCACTCTCCTCACACATTTCTCTTTCTTTCTTTCTTTCTTTCTTTTTCTTTTCTTTCTTTTTTTTTTTTTTCTTTTTGTTGGTCGTGGGGTTTGAACTCTGGACCTCAGCTCTTCAGGTCAAGGCTAGCACTCTACCACTTGAGCCATAGCGCCACTTCTGGTTTTCTGAGTGGTTTATTGGAGGTAAGAGTCTCACAGACTTCCTGCCCGGGCTGGCTTTGAACCGCAATCCTCAGGTCTCAGCCTCCTGAATAGATAGGGTTACAGGCGTGAGCTACCAGCGCCTGGCTCATTTCTCTTTCTTATTCCCACATTTGTTTTTCTTTCTGTGGCCCCTCAAAGAACCCTGGAATCTGTGCAGCCCTACCCAAGCCACCCCTCCTTTTTTTTATGTGTTTGGTAATAAGAACAGGAAAGTCCTTGTTCTCCTCTGGGGCCCCAGGCCACACAGGCTGAGCAAGTGGAACTCTTGTTCTTCCAGTCTCTGCTAGGTAAATCCAGAGCCTTCTGAGACTCAAGGCTGCTAGCCATTCCTCACCTGATTCCTGAAAGCCTGGAGCGAGCATCCCTTTCTCTTTGATCCCTCCTTTGAGAGTTTTCTGGGGTGATCAGGGCAGCCAGTCTGTTGGGGGAACCCTGAGCGCAGGCACCCGGGTCTGGCCTGTATTGCAATCCCAGCCCCACTTCCCTGAATAACCCCTGCTTAGCTGTAGGTCGTTTCCTGACCCAGGGCCCTGCTCTGGGGCAGCTCAGACTCCTGAGCCCAGCTCCTAAAATCATAACCAGATGGGGTTCTCAGTGCTCCCTGCCCCAGCCCTGACCTGCGGAGACTGGGAGGGGCCCTGCCAGGAGGGATGGGACTGTGTCACACCATGCAGGAGGGGCCTGGGCCTGGGCTCTCTTCCGTGGCTGTGGGACTGCGTCTGTCTCCAATTAGTATGCGCTCCCACACTCTGGGCCACGTAATCTGTTTATGCACCTATGATATCAAAAGAGGAGGCAGGTGCTGCTGTCCTGCCTTCCCCCGAGTCAGGAAGGGACGCTTTCTGACTACAGTGGCTCCACAGCCCCCAGTTGACGTCTGCTAGCAGCAACAGACAGAGTCCAGATGGCATGGCAGTGATGGGGAGGAGGAGGAGGAGGTGTGTGTGTGTGTGTGTGTGTGTGAGAGAGAGAGAGAGAGAGAGAGAGATGCCAGTGTGGACGTGTGTGTGTGTGTGTGCGTGTGCACGCGCGCGTGCCTGGGTATGTGCTGTCATGCCAGGCCTTGGTAAGCAGCCTCTCCAGGATGGGGGCAGGGGCAGATCACGGATCCCCCCAGCGTGTCTGGGTCACGCTCAAGCACGGCTGCAGGGGGACTAAGATTAGAGGATCCAGCAAGCCCCAGGGGACAGGAGCCTGAATTGCCTTGCTCTGCTAAATGATTTTGAGCTGTCTGCAAGGGCTGGGAGGAGGGGAGTGCAGGGGTGGGGGAGCCAGCTAGGAGGTGGGTGGGGTAAAGTGGCTGCTCCCGGGCGCCCTGGCTCTGGCTGGATCTCTTTGCACTTCTCATACTGGTGGTGGCTGTCCTTGGCGAGGCTCAGCTGCAGGCGCAGTGGAAGTGGGAATTAGGGAGCACACCTTCTTTCACCAGAAGTTGTCAATATGTGTATAGCTGGTGGGGAGGCTCTGGCAGGGCGAGAATATCAGGGGCCCTTCATAGGCTGGGGAGGTGGCTGGGAGGGGCGCTGGCTGAGGCCGAAGGACAAGGACAAGGCCCATCTGAATAGCTTTCCCTCCCCCACCCCCTGCCCTCCATCTCTCCTTTTTCTTTTCACAGATAACCAGCCCGAGTCATGCAGTCTTTTCGAGAAAGGTGTGGTTTCCATGGCAAACAACAGAACTACCCGCAGACCTCACAGGAAACATCGCGCCTGGAGAATTACAGGCAGCCCAGTCAGGCTGGGCTAAGCTGTGACCGGCAACGGCTGCTGGCCAAGGACTATTACAGCCCACAGCCTTATGCAGGTTATGAGGGTGGTACCAGCACACCCTCTGGTGCAGCAACCACAGTGGCTGACAAGTACCACCGAGGCAGCAAGGCCCTGCAGGGGAGGCCAGCTTTCCCTGGCTATAGCAGCGTCCAGGACAGCAGCCCCTACCCGGGACGCTATTCTAGTGAGGAAGGTCTGCAGGCCTGGGGGGCTCCACAGCCACCTCCCCCTCAACCACAACCCCTGCCAGGAGGGGTGGGAAAGTATGAAGAGAACTTGATGAAGAAGACAGCGGTGCCCCCAGGCAGGCAGTACTCCGAGCAGGGCACCCAACTTCCCTTCCGGACTCACTCTTTGCATGTCCCCCAGCCTCCGCCTCAGCTGCCACAGCCCCAGCAACCCTTGGCATACCCCAAACTCCAAAGGCAGAAACTGCAGAATGACCTCGCCTCTCCCCTGCCTTTTCCCCAGGGCAGCCACTTTCCCCAGCACTCCCAGTCCTTCCCCACCTCCTCTACCTTCTCCTCGTCTGTCCAGGGTGGCAGCCAGGGGACCCACTCTTACAAGAGTTGCACAGCACCGTCTTCCCAGCCCCATGACAGGCCACTGACTGCCAATGCCAGCCTGGCCCCGGGGCAGCGGGTCCAGAACCTTCACACCTACCAGTCAGGCCGCCTTGGTTATGAGCAACAGCAGCAGCAGCAGCAGCAGCAAGCACTTCAGAGCCGGCACCATGCCCAGGAAACCCTCCATTACCAAAACCTCGCCAAATACCAACACTACGGACAGCAAGGCCAGGGCTACTGCCAGCCGGATGCGGCCGTCAGGACTCCAGAGCAGTATTACCAGACCTTCAGCCCCAGCTCCAGCCACTCCCCTGCACGCTCCGTGGGCCGCTCACCTTCCTACAGCTCCACCCCATCGCCGCTGATGCCCAACTTGGAGAACTTTCCATACAACCAGCAGCCACTCAGCACCGGAGCCTTCCCCACGGGTATCACCGACCACAGCCACTTCATGCCCCTGCTCAACCCCTCCCCGACCGATGCTGCTGGCTCTGTGGACACCCAGGCCAGCAACTGCAAGCCCCTGCAAAAGGACAAGATCCCTGAGAACCTGCTGTCAGATCTCAGCCTGCAGAGCCTCACGGCCCTGACCTCACAGGTGGAGAACATCTCCAACACTGTGCAGCAGCTCCTGCTGTCCAAGGCTGCCGTGCCGCAGAAGAAAGGGGTGAAGAACCTTGTGTCCAGGACTCCAGAACAGCACAAGAGCCAGCACTGTAGCCCTGAGGGCAGTGGCTACTCGGCAGAGCCAGCAGGCACACCACTGTCCGAGCCACCGAGCAGCACACCACAGTCCACCCATGCCGAGCCCCAGGAGGCAGACTACCTAAGCGGCTCTGAGGACCCTCTGGAGCGCAGCTTTCTCTACTGCAGCCAGGCCCGTGGCAGCCCTGCCAGGGTCAACAGCAACTCCAAGGCCAAGCCTGAGTCTGTGTCTACCTGTTCTGTGACCTCACCTGATGACATGTCCACCAAATCTGATGACTCCTTCCAGAGCCTGCACAGCACTCTGCCGCTGGACAGCTTTTCCAAGTTCGTAGCAGGCGAGCGGGACTGCCCACGGCTGCTGCTCAGCGCACTGGCACAGGAAGACCTGGCCTCAGAGATCCTGGGGCTGCAGGAGGCCATCGGGGAGAAGGCTGACAAGGCCTGGGCCGAGGCTCCTGGACTGCCCAAAGATGCCAGCAAGCCGCCCTTCTCACTGGAGAACCACAGCGCCTGCCTGGACTCCGTAGCCAAGACTGCATGGCCACGGCCAGGGGAGCCAGAGGCCCTGCCTGACTCCTTACAGCTGGACAAGGGTGGCAGCACCAAGGATTTCAGCGCAGGGCTGTTTGAAGACCCTTCTGTGGCCTTTGCCACCCCTGACCCCAAAAAGACAACCAGTGCCCTGTCCTTTGGCACCAAGTCCACTCTTGGGGCTGCTGCTCCAGACCCCACCACGGCAGCATTTGACTGCTTCCCAGACACAACCACCGCCAGTTCAGTGGACAGTGCCAACCCCTTTGCCTGGCCAGAGGAGAACCTGGGGGATGCTTGTCCCCGGTGGGGATTACACCCTGGTGAACTCACCAAAGGCCTGGAGCAGGGTGGGAAGACCTCAGAAGGACTGGGCAAAGGGGAGGCCCATGAGGCTTCGGCCTGCCTGGGCTTCCAGGAGGAGGAGCCCTCGGGGGACAAGGCAGCCCTGCTGCCTGGGGATTTCAAGCAGGAGGAGGCGGGCGGGGTGAAGGAGGAGGCGGGCGGGCTGCTGCAGTGTCCCGATGTGGGCAAGGCTGACCGGTGGCTGGAGGACAGCCGACACTGCTGTTCTGCTGCTGACTTTGGGGACCTGCCACTGCTGCCAGCCCCTGGCAGAAAGGAGGACCTGGAGGCTGAGGAGGAGTACTCGTCCCTGTGTGAGCTACTGGGCAGCCCAGAGCAGAGGCCGGGCCTGCAGGACCCACTCTCACCCAAGGCCCCGCTCATCTGCACCAAGGAGGAGGCTGAGGAAGTGCTGGACTCCAAGGCTGCCTGGGATTCCCCGTGCCACCTCTCTGGGGAGTCCGTCATCTTGCTGGGCCCCACAGTGGGTGCTGAGTCCAAGGTCCAGAGCTGGTTTGAGTCCTCCCTGTCCCACATGAAGCCAGGTGAGGATAGGCCTGACGCAGAGCGGGCTCCAGGGGACTCTGCCTCCTCGGACCCCTCCCTGGCCCCCAAACTGAGCAAGCCCGCTGTGCCCGAGGCACCGATTGCTAAGAAAGAGCCTGTGCCACGGGGCAAAAGTTTACGAAGCCGGCGGGTACACCGGGGGCTGCCTGAGGCCGAGGACTCCCCATGCAGGGCCCCTGCGCTGCCCAAAGACCTCTTGCTCCCTGAGTCCTGCACGGGGCCCCCACAAGGACAAATGGAAGGGGCTGGGGCTCCAGGCCGGGGGGCCTCAGAAGGCCTTCCCAGAATGTGTACCCGCTCCCTCACTGCCTTGAGTGAGCCCCGCACACCTGGACCGCCAGGCCTGACCACCACCCCCGCGCCCCCGGACAAACTGGGGGGCAAGCAGCGAGCTGCCTTCAAGTCTGGAAAGCGGGTGGGGAAGCCCTCGCCCAAGGCTGCATCTAGCCCCAGCAACCCGGCTGCCCTGCCTGTGGCCTCAGACAGCAGCCCCATGGGTTCCAAGACCAAGGAGACGGACTCCCCCGGCACACCTGGCAAGGACCAGCGCTCCATGATCCTCCGGTCCCGTACCAAACCCCAGGAGATCTTCCACGCCAAGCGGAGGCGGCCCTCTGAGAGCCGGCTCCCCAACTGCCGTGCCACCAAGAAACTCCTTGCTAACAACCACCTGCCCACCACGTTCAAGGTCTCCAGCAGCCCCCAGAAGGAAGGCCGGGTGAGCCAGCGGGCAAGAGTCCCTAAGCCCGGCACAGGGGGCAAGCTTTCAGATCGGCCCCTCCACGCACTCAAAAGGAAGTCAGCCTTCCTGACGCCTGTCCCCACCAAGAAGCGGAACCTCGTGCTACGGAGCAGCAGCAGCAGCAGCAATACCAGTGGCAGCGGTGGGGACGGGAAGGAGGAGAGGGCTGAGGGTTCCCCCAACCTCTTCAGGAGGGTGTCCTCCCCCAAGAAGGCCAAGCCCAAGGGAAGTGGTGAGCCTCCCACCAAGCCACCACCCCTGGAGACCCCTGACACCTGCATCAAGCTCGCCTCCCGGGCAGCCTTCCAGGGTACCATGAAGACTAAGGTGCTGCCACCCCGGAAGGGCCGGGGCCTGAAGCTGGAGGCCATCGTGCAGAAGATCACCTCGCCCAGCCTCAAGAAGTTCGTGTGCAAAGTGCCAGGGGCCCCTCTTGGGACTCCTCTGAGCCCAGCCCTCCCGGACAAAGACCGTGGTGGGCTCAAGAGTGCTGGGGGCAGCCCAGCTGGGGCAGAAGAGGGTCTGGTAAGCATGGGTACTGGGCAGAAACTCCCGGCGGCTTCGGGAGCAGACCCATTGTGCAGAAACCTGGCCAACAGGGCCTTAAAAGGCAAGCTCGTGAACAGTAAGAAACTGTCCTCACCTGACTGTTTCAAAAGTGAGGCCTACCCACCTGCAGAGGCCCTGCAACCCGGGGGGACTGCCCTAGCACCGAAGAAGAGGAGCCGGAAAGGCAGGGCAGGAGCACCAGGACTTTCCAAAATCCCACTGGAGAAGCGGCCCTATCTTGGCCCAGCTCTGCTCCTCACTCCCCGAGACAGGGTCAGCAGCATGCAGGGGGATGTCGAGGACAACTCTGGTGGTGGTGGTGGTGGAGGAGGAGGAGGAGCAGGAGGAGGAGGAGGAGGAGGCAAGAAGCCAAAGACAGAGGAGCTGGGCCTGGCCTCCCAGCCTCCAGAAGGCCGACCCTGCCAGCCCCAGACAAGGGCACAGAAGCAGCCAAGCCACACCAACTACAGCAGCTACTCCAAGCGGAAGCGTCTGACCCGAGGCCGAGCCAAGAACACCAATGCTTCCCCCTGTAAGGGGCGTGCCAAGCGGAGACGGCAGCAGCAGGTACTGCCCCTGGATCCTGCAGAGCCTGAAATCCGCCTCAAGTACATTTCCTCTTGCAAGCGGCTGAGGGCAGACAGCCGGACCCCAGCCTTCTCACCCTTCGTGCGGGTGGAGAAGAGAGACGCATTCACCACCGTGTGCACTGTTGTCAACTCCCCCGGGGGCGAGCCCAAGCCCCATAGGAAGCCTTCCTCTTCCACCTCCTCCTCTTCCTCGTTCTCCTTAGACTCAGCTGGGGCCTCTCTGACCACACTCCCTGGAGGCTCCATCCTGCAGCCTCGGCCCTCCCTGCCCCTCTCCTCTACCATGCACCTGGGGCCTGTAGTGTCCAAGGCCCTGAGTACCTCTTGCCTTGTTTGCTGCCTCTGCCAAAACCCAGCCAACTTCAAGGACCTTGGGGACCTCTGTGGGCCCTATTACCCTGAACACTGCCTCCCCAAAAAGAAGCCAAAACTCAAGGAGAAGGTGCGGCCAGAAGGCATGTTCGAGGAGGCCTCACTCCCCCTTGAGAGAACAGTCAAAGGCCTCGAGTGTGTGGCCACCGCGGCCACCACCGCCGCTGCCACCACCACCACCACCACTGGGAAACCCCCCAGGCCTGACGGCCCAGCTGACCCGGCCAAGCAGGGCTCGCTGCGCACCAGCGCCCGGGGCCTGTCCCGGCGCCTGCAAAGTTGTTACTGCTGTGATGGTCGGGGGGACGGGGGCGAGGAGGTAGCCCCAGCCGACAAGAACCGCAAGCATGAATGCAGCAAAGGGGTCCCCACAGAGCCTGGTGGGGATACCCAGGAGCACTGGGTGCATGAGGCCTGTGCTGTGTGGACCAGCGGGGTCTACCTGGTGGCCGGGAAGCTCTTTGGGCTGCAGGAGGCCATGAAGGTGGCCCTGGACATGGTAAGAGGCCAGCCCAGCTGGGGTGGAGCATGGGGCCTTAGGTACAGGCAGGAAGCTGGTATCTGCAGAGCTACAGGTTGAGTCAATGGTGTCCGTGCCACAGAAGCCCCCCGAAGAGCTGGAAGCAAGGGTGTAAAGGGAGGGGGCAAAGTCAAAGCCCGCATGAGACTAAGGCAGGATATGCTCATCACCCTCTCCCCAAAAACTCCTCTCCATAGCTCTTACATTCCACCCAGCCAGTTCCTACTCCCCCCCACTCAAACCTACCCTCACTAAAAGCTAGGGCCCAGAGAAGATGGGAGGCCCTCAGAATGCAGAGCGAGGGTGGTCTGCGGGAACAGGCTGGTCCTGGTTGGGCTGGGGCAAAGATGGCCCTCAAGCCACAGGGAGCATGGAGCCCTAGTCCACCATAGTCCCTGTGTTGAGCCCTGAGTACCAGCTCCCCTCAGGGAGCTGTGGCTACCGAGTGGCTGTGAACGGAGCCTTCACCTCTCTGTACCACCCCTCAGCCCCAAAATCAGTGCCTGGTACCCACCACGGGAATCATGGGGACAGTGAGTTAATGGTCATCATGCTGTTAGTGTGGCACCTGGCCCACATTTAAGACTCTATCTGGTATCACAGGACTAGGAAAACTAGGATGATGCTGGTACTGAGCACTGCCAGGGCACTGCAGGCCACTGGGCCGGCTGTTTGGGCTCCCTTCCAGGGGTCCACAGCCTCTCTAGCCAGTGAGTCAGGTAGAGAGGGCGACAGGCCCACAGGCCCCTATAAAACCTGCTTTCCCATGGCAGTGGCTAGTGGAAGTGTCTGTGCCCTAGGGTGGTAGACCTGTATCTTGCCACTGGGGGGTGTCCTTCTCCCTCTGCACACTTGGAGCTCAGCCAAATCCCTGGCCCCCTGCATTGGGTCCCTGCATTCATCCTGCCTTTTCTCTACTTACCACAGCCTACTGCAGGTGCCAGGCTCAAGAGGAGCCAGGGCATGGAAGGGCATGGACTGCCAACCTCTGAGCCATTTGGCCACCTGGAAGAGATGCCCAGGCTAGCAGACTTACCCATCCCCCTACCGGTGCTCTCCCATATACCTTGCTCTTCTTCCTTGTAGCTGACAGTGAGTGTGGCCCCTCTGGGCTGCCACATCCCTGGGGCTGCTGAGGCTGCTGCGCATGCCCCCTGGGTTTCCTGGGCTTTTCCTATCTTCCCCCTAGGAATGGCTAGAGGTCCTCTCTGGCCCACCTTGTTCGGGACATCACAACCACTCTGCCCTAATATACACAGTAGGCCATGGCCCCCACAGCCCTGATCTCCTGTGGTTTTGTTGTTGTTTTATTTTGTTTTTCCTTCTATTTCCTGCCCTTCTCAATTTTTCTCCCTCCTTCCTGTGCCCTCTGCCTAAATTCCCAGCTATCCTGAAATAAATTCAGCTTTCTCTTACCATTAAAAAAATTGGCTGGGAGCCAGGTGCTGGTAGCTCAAGCCTGTAATCCTAGCTACTCAGGAGGCTGAGATCTGAGGATCATGGTTCAAAGGCAGCCCCAGCAGGAAAGTCTGTGAAACTCTTATCTCCAATAAACCATCAGAAAACTGGAAGTGGTGCTGTGGCTCAAGTGGTAGAGCACTTGCCTTGAGCTGAAGAGCGGAGGGACAGCACACAGGCCCAGAGTTCAAGCCCCACGACTGACAAAAAAAAAAAAAAAGAAAAGAAAAGAAAAAATAAAGAAAAAGGCTGGGAATGTGGCTTAGTGGTAGAGTGCTTGCCTTGCCTAGCATACATGAAGCCCTGGTTTCAATTCCTCCAAACCACATAGACAGAAAAAGCCAGAAGTGGCGCTGTGGCTCAAGTGGTAGAGTGCTAGCCTTGAGCAAAAAGCTCAGAGATGGTGCTCAGGCCCTGAGTTCAAGCCCCAGGTCTGGCAAAAATAAAAATAAATTTTAAAAAATTCTAGTAGTTCTTGGACCTGCTGGTCCCAGCTGGTGACTATCTTGCCCCTGCCATTCATGTCAGCCCCACTGAAAACTACCATCTACCCAGCAGTCTTGGCTCTGTGGCCTTGTGGAGTACTGAGGGCCAGGGCTGAGAACCCACCGTGTCCCCTTGCATAGCACTGGCAGGCCAGAGCTAGGAAGAACACAGAATGAAGTCCTTTCCTGTCCAGGCCTGTCTCTGTGGCTCTGACACACACGCACACACATGCACACACGCATGCCAGAGGGCCGGCCCTTCTGGACCCAAACTAAACAGGAGTTTGCTGGCCGCAGAGGGTCTCTCCCTACCAGCCCTAGGTGACCTGAGGCTGGCAGTCAGGGTGTGCTGCCCATCCAGACAAGAGGCCACTCCTGAGCCTAGGGGGGTCAGGGTAGGGGTGGGTAATGATTGGAAAAGCCAGGCTTGTCCTCATGGAACACCTTAGAAGAATGTGCAGGATCTAGCCTTCCCAGGCTTCCTGTAGAGTGGCCTCTGGGGTCACAGTGCAGCCCACTGCTTCCTGCCTTGCTGGCTCCCCTGAAACCAAACATGCTGAGCCAAACACCAGGTGTGCATGCCTGTAATTCTAGCACTTGGGAGGATCACAGTTCAAAACCAGCTCAGACAGGAAAGTCCATGATATTCTTTATCTCCAACTAGCCAGCAAAAAGCTGGAAGTGGAGCTGTGGCTCAAGGAGTAGAGTGCTAGCCTTGAGTGAAACATCCAAGGGATAGTGCCTGGCCCCAGGACCGGCAGAACCAAACAAACAGACCCTGGTGCAAATCCCAGTTCTGCCAAGTGCCATTGTATAACTCCAGCCCTGATGCCAACCCAGGTTGGGCAGGTCATCGTGACAGCCCCTACTCAGTAACGAGCTGGTGCTTTAGCCTCACTTTGCTGCCTTATGGACTGAGCTGTGGCCTCGGGCCCTCTCTGCCTCCTTCCCCACAATACCTGTAGTCTTTGAGCTCTGCTATTCCCGGTCCTCCTAGAGCCTCAGCTTCCTGGTCTGCCTCAAGCCCCACTTTCCCATTACCGTCTTATATGCCCTCCCATCCAGATGAGGCCTGGTGACAAAATGCTCCAGATGAGGGGGACACAGGGCTGACTTGTATTGTTATGAGGATGGCAGTGTCTGCTTAGGCCTGGTGTGGGCCTTGGGACAGACAAGGCAGCACTCAGGCCTCATGTGGGGGTTGCTGGGGCTAGGGACATCAGAAGTGTGTTTCTATACCTGTTTCTAAAATGGCACTCAGATGCCTAACTCAAGGGTTGTTGGGGGATACAAGAAAGCAGAGAGGTACTGTCAACTGTAGCAGCTCCTTAAAAGTTCTAACACCCTACGGGCTGCTATGGATTCAACTCAGCCTGGTCTGGGACCCCCATTGGTGCTTTATCGCCTCTGTCTAGGTCAGGAATTGGAGGTCACTGGATTCCAGATCTTCATGCCATTCTCCCAGACTGCTCAGAGACAGTGTGAAAAGTTGGTGTTCTAGAATATTCCTCAGCTCCTACTTCACTCCTGCTCCTGGCCTCCTCAGCTGCAGGAGTTTAGGTGGAGCCTAACTCATCCAGGGCAGCATGTGTACCTGGGTCCACTAGGTTTTGACACAGGCCCCAACTTGGAGCTGTGACTGACCTTAGGGAAGTTTTTCAGCCTCTTCACCTACTGGTTAACCTGGATAAATAACAACATACTGGGCAGGGTGTGGAGGCTTCCACCTGTGATCTTAGCTACTCAGGAGGCTAAATCTGAAGGATCCTGTTCAGAGGCTAGCCCAGAACAAAAGTGCAAGACTATCTGAAAAATGACTAAAGCAAAAAGGGTTTGGAGCATGGCTTTAGTGGTAGAGCGCTCACTTAATTAGCAAATGTGAGGCTCTGAGTTAAAATTCCAATACCACCCAAAATTAGAAATAACTGATTACTGGGAGCTAGTAGCTCATAGCTGTAATCCTAGCTACTCAAGAGGCTGAGATCTGAGGATCAGGGTTCAAAGCCAGCCCAGACGGGAAAGTCTGTGAGACTTATCTCCAATTAACCACCAAAAAGCTGAAAGTGAGCCTGTGGTTCAAGTGGTTAGAGCACTAGGCCTTGAGCACAAAAGCTCAGGGACAATGCCCAGACCCTGAGTTCAAGCCGCAGGAACAGAAAAAAGCCCTGATACTACTGGGCTGCCAGGACTTGGCCTCGGCCTGCTCTGCTCCTCACTTCCTTCCCACCTTGACTTCTCAGCAGGATCACACTACTGTGGTTCATGAACACGCGTGGCCTTGGACCTGTCTCTGTCCCACTTTTCCAAGGGCCTTCTCTGCATTGTCTTACTAAGATGGCCACATCCCGTGCACCCCCCCCCCCCCCATGTGTAGGGGCAGGCATATGCCAGGCCAGGTTCGGGTCAGGTTCACATGAAATCAGAATCTTGAGGTTCCTGTGTCACCACCTTTGCATCTGACCTTTGTTGTCCCAGGGAGGTGACTGCCTCACCCTGGCTACAAGGATCTGGCTCACTGCTGCATGCTCCTGCCACCGCCACAGGAGAGACAGCAGAGCCTCCCACCCTCCCACCATCGGTAGAGTGGGGCTGCTAGAAGGAGCCAGCAGGAGCCACGCAGGGTGGAACCATGCTCGAACGAGCTTTGCTTTACTCACTTTTTGGATAAAGCCTTACGTCTTTGCCCTGCGGAAGCCCCAGATCGCAATCCTTCAGAGTTCTGCCTCCTGAGTAGTTGGGGCCACAGGTAGAAGCCACCACACCCAGTTCAGTATTACAGTTATTGATCCCTATCTCAGCTCCAGGCTGGGCCCTGAGTCAAAACCTAGTAGGCCCAGTCATACTACGTTGTGAACTTTGCAGCTGAGGAGGCCAGGAGCAGGAGTGAAGTGGGGAGCTGAAGAACATTCTAGAACATCAGATTTTCATACTGCTTCTGGGTGGATAATTTCCGCTGCTTGAGCCAGGCATGGTAGTGTATGACCGTAATCCCTGATGCTAGGGAAGGGTTGATGGTGATGGGAGTGTAGAAGGTTCCAGGCAATCTGGGCAAAATTCGTGAGCCTCCTGTTTCAGAACCAAAATATAAGCTGGGCTCTCATGACTCATATCCATAATTCTAGCTACTCTAGAATCTGAGGCCTAGAGTGTTATGGTTGCAAGCCAGCCCAGGCAGAAAAGCTTGTGAGATTCTTATCTCCAAAAATCTATAAGAAGGACCGATGTTTTGGCTCAAGTGTTAGTGCATCAACCAAGCAAGCATGAGACCCTGAGTTCAAATCCCAGTGCCACAAATTTTTTAAAAAAAGAGCCAAGGACACACCACTCACAGCATGAAGGAGCACTGGGCAGATGCTGGCTGCTAGCCCTAGCCATAATGGCCAGTAGTGTCGCCAGCACCCAGCATGCCAGCCCAGGGGCTTCCAGACAGCAAGTGCTTATGGGTGTTTGCATCCCAGCACTGAGCTTCCTGGCTGCCTTCCAGCAGCAGATTTGGAGGAGGCAGGAGGTAGGGGTTGCTGGGGCCTGTGTGGAAAGATGGGGGACTCACCTGCCTGCCTTTTCTCTTCACCAGACATGTTCCAGCTGCCAAGAAGCCGGGGCCACCATCGGGTGCTCCTACAAAGGATGCGTCCACACCTACCACTATCCGTGTGCCAGCGACGCGGGTGAGTGCCAGCCCAAGGGACCGGGGTGGGGGGAGCATGGGCACAGCTCCTCTAACCCAGGTCCCACGTCACCATTGGGGCCCCCTCCCACTCCCTCACTCTTCTTTTTCTCTGCCTAGAGCTGGGCTGGGCAATGCCAGGGTCACTGAAATCAGGTCCCACTCATCTGATTAGGACAGCCCAGAGCAGTGTGGAGAGATAAGGCATAAGCAAGAATATGGAGAGCTTACCAAGGAGCTGGGCCTTTGGAGGATGAATAGGAGTTTATTTGCACAGAGACCAAGGGAAAGGTTATACAACAGTAAATTCCAAATGAAGGACTAGGAGTGCAGAGCATTTGTCCTGCAAATATGAAGCCTTGGGTTACATCCCTAATGGGACAAGCAATCTTGAGCTCTCTTCTGTAATTCCAGCTACTCAGGAGGTAGGATTAGAAGGCCAGCCCAGGCACAGTTGCTGAGACCCTATTTCATGGATAAGTTGAGTGTGTCGGTGGTACACCTCTGTAATCCTAGGTAGGAGAAGTGCAGTCTGAGACTGGTCTCAGGAAAAAAAAAATAGGAGACAACTGAAAAATATCTAAAGAAAAAAGGGGTGGTTCAAGTGTGGAAAACCTGCCTAGCCAGTATAAGCCTTGTGTTCAAACGCCAGCAGGGGATGGGGGAGAGGGAGAGAAGAGGTCTGAGACCAAATGGGCTATTGGCCCAGGGAACCCTTTGGAAAGTTTTGAGCAGGGTGGTGGGTGTAGACACAAGCCATAGCTCCCTGCATTCCCCCTCATTCTCTTCCTCTATCTTACGTATGCACTGTTGCCTGCTCCTCATTGGCCAGGTAGGGAAACTGAGGCTCAGTGAGATTCTTTACATCTACGCAAGAAAAGCTGTCACTCACAGTGTAACAGTTACCAATTTCTTGATGGTATTTGGTGGTGGCAGTGGTGGTGGTTATGGGGTCTGAACTTGGGGCCTGGGCACTGTCCTTGAGCTCTTTTTGCTCAAGGCTAGTGCTCTACTACTTTGAGCCATAATGCCACTTCCAGTTTTCTGTTGATTAATTGGATATGAGCCTCACAAATGTTCCTGCTCTGGCTGGTTTTGAACTGAGATCCTCAGATCTCAGCCTCCTGAGTAACTAGGATTACAGGTGTGAGGCACCCAGCTCATTTTACGGGAGGGAGTCTTAGGCCCAGATTCAATAATCCTGGTGGCCTTTCTTCCCACATAGTCTGGGGCACCACAGCTGTCTCTGCCCAGGGTTATGGGGAGCAGAGCAGAATAGTGAACCCTAACCAGAAGGTGCAGCCTCTTTCTTATTTTGGGCCCGGCCCCTCTTTACACCTCCATCCCTCAGAGCTCTGGCCTAGATGGCGATGATGTGACCTTCACTCTGCCTCGTGGTGGACAGAGCCCAGGGCTCCTGTCACCAGCCAGCAGACCCTTCCACTGCCCCACCTGCCTCCTGGGTCCAAGGCCAGCACCAGCTCCAGCTCCAGCCAAGCTACCAGATTTCAAATGGTGACCTCAGAGGGGGCCGGAGGGGCCACAGGAGTGGGATTGCAGTGGGGTTTCTTGCTGGCTCTGCTTCACACTACACACTGGGGGTCAGGTTTGGACGTGGACATGGCCTTATCTGGGCCCAGTCTCACTCCCACAGCTGCTAACACGAGTGAGTTCCTCCTCTGTGGGAGTTAATGTGGTGCCACTGCATGCCACACCCTCCAGCAAGGCCCAGTGCCATCTCCAGCTGCATCTTTACCAATGGGCAGAGCTGTCATGGCCCCACAGCCTGGCCCTGGAGAGAGGGGCAGGGCACAAAGCCTGGCTTTCTCCCTCTTTTTTTCCATCCTCCCCAGGGAACCCCGTGGAGTGGACAGACAGGACGGCCTGGTTCTGGCCACAGTAATGGAGACCGGGCAAGGAGGAGGAGAGTGTGCTTGTGGGAGAGGTTTGCCCTGCCCGAGCTGGGAGGGCATCCAGGGAGAATTCAGGCAGAGGTGACATTTGAGTGAAGCCCCAAAAGACCCAAGGAGGTGGACCACAGCTGGTTAGCGGTGGACTTTCACTAGGCTCTGAACTATATAACAGGAAGCTCTGCAGAGTCAAGGGAATTCAGACAGGAAGGCAGCTGGGAGGACAAGATCAGGGCTGATGAGCTCCTCCTGCCTTAGCCCTGGCAGGAGAGGATGGTTGGCTGGTGTGGGTAGAGTCATATACCCCAAGACTGTGCGGCACCCACCCACAAGACTCGTAAGAGATGAGGAATGGGGTGTTGAGCCTGACATCTAATTTCCCGGTATTAGGGGAGTCGTTGGTCGGAGCAGGGCTGCTGTGAAAAAAAAAGAGGGGAATACTGTTACTGAGCTACTATTCCTTCCAGGCTCACCTTAGTGGTTTAAACAGCAATGATTCCTTAATTCTGACAAGGGCACAGGCCAGCGGGCAGGTTCTACACCAGGGGTTGGATGCTCTGGGGAGGCCACAGCTGGATCAGTTCTTACTTGCTTCACATGGTCCTGCCCCCAGCACTGGTCCTCTCACTGCCCTGCCTACAGACCTTACCTCACTTCTGCTAGCAATGATAACAAATCCCAAGGGCTGCCAGGGTTCACAGTGGGCTGAGCTGCCGGAGCTCATACCACAAAGGATCCATGTGATCCACCTTCTACGCATGCAGCTATGCCGGGGACCAGCTGTGCTGAGGTGTCCTAGACAGAACTCTCCCGGTTGGGCTCATCCGGTTAGTCCCTGACAATCAGCAGGTGGAGGCTTATATGAGCGGTGTAAGGGCCAAGAGGGGGGGCAGCCAAGGTGTGCTCAGGCCTCCAGAGTGCCCACAGGCTGCCGGCTACCATCTTGTGCTGCCTCGCTGGCCCTCTCAGCCCGATACCCTTCCAGTCCTTACTAAGGATCCCCACTTGAGATCCGTACTGGCTCCCAAGAACAGAGCCAACAAGATGTCCTCTTAGAACATTCCACTCAGCCCGTGGCTCACCAGGCCAGCCAGGTGGGAGCAGGGGGACACTGAGGTCTGGCCCTTGTCAGTGACTGCCCCACGTGGCTGCTGGGTGATTGCTGGGCTAGCTGGTTTGGAAGTGGTGACCCATACCCACAGCTTCCAGTGGCCCAGGTGCTTGACCCAAGTATCTGCCACCGAGCCAGAGGACCACCTTCCTGCAATGTGTGAGCCCAGTGTGCTGTGGAAATCTAGCCTAGTTGTGGAGCTAAATGATGGCTGTTGGCTGTTTCCAAGCAGCTGGTACTACAGGCAGCTTTCAAGTCATGGCTGCCCCTGCTCCTAGATCCTAGGGAGTGGGCAGAAAGAAGTAGGAGGCCACAATGAGGCCTGCAGCTATTTACCCAGCAGCCATGCTCCTACTTGGGGGTGTGGTTGCTCCCCAGTGTGAGCTAGAAAGAGGCATTAAGGAAGGTGGCTCCTGGCCAATGAGTAGGGAAGGGAGATGAGCCCAAAGGGGCCTCAGGTAGAAAATGGAGGTGCACAGGGAGAAGGGCAGGTCTCCCAAGATGGCACTGGGCCAGGTGCTAAGCCTACTCTGGTTAGGGAGGCATAACTACTGGCCATGCTTGCTGTCTTCTGCACAGTAGGCCACTGCCTGTATGTACACTTGGGATTTACAGGGACCCGAAATCTCAGTGTGCAGCCTCCCTGTTCCCATAGGAACAAGTCCCTTCCCCAGCACCTGCTTTGCACACAGCTCAAGTGGAGATTGATACACCCAGCTAGTTAGGCCATATCCTGCAGATGGGGAGACCATGACTTGGCACAGCTGAATAGAGTCCAGACCTGTGACACTACCCCTCTGTCACCACCATACCTGCCTGGGTATGCATCTGGGGGGTGAGGGGGGCTGGGCACATTCCTCACACTGCAGCCTTCCTTAGGGGAGAGACTAGGACCCGCCTACTGTAACAGGAGTGACCACGCAGAACCAGGCAGATGAGAAGAATCTAGAGGTAGGAGTCTGCCTTACAGTCAGGGAAGATCTTCAATGACAAGAAGTGTGCCAGTGGAAGTTCTGGGTGGAGGAGATGGGGTAAGAGTTAAGCCCAGAGGCTGCGGTGTCCCCTGGCATCCCTGTGATGGAATTTGGGTTGTGGGGCTTTAAGTAGGACCTGGGCCATTCTGTGCCACAATTCTCCTCTGGCCTCCAAACCCGGCCAGCAGCGAGCTCACCCCCCCCCCCACCCCCCCCCCACCCCCCCCCCACCCCCCCCCCCCCCCCCCCCGCTCTAACCACCAAACCTTCTCTTTGGTCACAGGTTGCATATTCATCGAAGAGAACTTTTCTTTGAAGTGTCCCAAGCATAAGGCAAGTGGCCCATAAGTGTCCCCATTTTTTTTTTCACTTCCTTTATAAGCCCTTCCTCTGATCTGCTCCGCTCTGCGCCTTCCTGGGCCCAGGAGCAGGTCGGCACAGGCAGGTAGGGAAGAAGGCTTCCTCCATCGGGCAGGTCTGGAAGAAGGGACCCGCCGGGGGATGATGGAGAGGGCTGGCGGGGCCCGGGGTGCGGGCTGACAGCACGTGATCAGAGGAAAAGCCCGAGCGGGACGGGTTGGTGGAGGTCAGGGCGGAGCCCTGCGGGGCAGGCCGGGGGCGGAGCCCGCGGGACGCCGCCTGGCTGGGCGGGCAACGCGCGAGCGCGCACGTCTTCCTGCCTCCCTCCCCCCTCGATAACGGGCTCTCCGCGTCCGGTTTTCTGTAGAGGCTGCCATTGTAATCCACCACGCCGACTGGAGGAGCCGCCGGAGCCCGCCTGCCCGTCCGCCGCCGAAGGAGAGGAGCCGCCTGCGCACCCTGGAGCTTTGAGCTGCTCCCGGCGCGGGCGCGGAGCCGATCCATGATCCGAGTTCCGGATCTTGGATCCGGCCGCCAAGGGCTCAGACTTGCGGCCTCGGGTTGGAAGGAAACCCTGTTCCGGAGTAGCTCGCTTCCGGAACCGGACGACGTGTGGGGCGCTCTGACCCACCACCCCCGGAGCCAGGCTTGGAGAGTGGAGCCGGCGGAGTGGTCAGACTCCTCGCGGCTCGGGGCACCCTGCCTCTGGCGGGGGTGGGAGATGGCTGTGGCCCGGGGACGCTGCCCCCCCCCGTCCCCCCCCCCCGCCTGAAAGTTCGACGTGGCACACATTCCTCGGGGGTGCTGCCGCCGCCGTCCCGGGGCGGTGGCGACCCTGTGAGAGGCCTGGGGCGTCTCGAGGAGGGGCAAACCGAAGCCTTTCTGAAGAAGGAGGCCAGGCGGGCGTGGAGGGGGGCAGAGGCTTTGGGAAAAGCCCTCGGAACGCGGCCAAGAGTTCTTCCTACCCAGTCTTTGCCAAAGCTTTTGTGCGGGTCGGGCACAGCCCGGGTAGTCGTAGGCCTAAGCTCAGGGGGTGCGGGGAGGGGAGGGGGGTAGAGACTGGGACACCCTTTTGCTTCTGTTTGTACCCTTTCTGATCCTCCTCCCATCCCTGGAGCTCAGCCTGGACGCACAGCAAAAAAAAAAAGAAAGAAAAAGAAGAGACCAGACCCAGGTACCTCCTGCGGATGCAGTCGTCCCAAAGCACCATGGTCACGGTCATTTCCAGGAACCGCAGCGCCCACTCGGCACGGGAGCAGGGACAGCGCTAGATTCGTGTACAAAACCTGTGTACCCCTCTATATATATGTTACATAGAATGTATATATGTTGGGAACATGCTCGCTTCTCCCTTGTGTCGCCGCCGTGCGTCGTGCGCCCCGCAGCACAGAACCCCCAACCGGGCCCTTTCAGGAGAAGGGGCTACTGTGATGTCCCTTCCCCGTGCAGCCACCACCAGCCCGGGCCAGTCCTTGCCAGTCTGTCCACCTGTCCGTCCGTGTCCTCAGCTCTGTCCACGCTTCGATAGGCCTGACGCAGCCCCCTGCCCGGGGTCGCCCTAGCAACTTCCTGTACATATGACTGTAAAATGGTAAACGTGTGTATTATATCTGGCCTCGTTATATAGTGTATATATATGTATACATATACATATATATAATATATATGAAGACTGTAAATGTTAAGACGACTAGTGTTCTTATTAGTATATTGCTTCACACTGAAGATTGTGTGTATCGAGCTGTTTCTAAAAGATGTTTATTTTCCTTAAGAGTTAAAAAAAAAAACAGTCATTGCATTCAGAAAAAAAAAAAGTCAATAAAGATACAACGATTGTTTTGGAAGTCTGCAGCCCCTGGATTCTGACCAGATTCTGCTGGGAGTTGGGACCAGGCTTTGTGTGGCACAAATGGGGATCAGATTCTGCCAAGTTGGGACACTAGAACATTAGACCTCTAATGCCTTGATGGTCTCATCTGCCCATGTGGTGTCCAGTCCTGGACATAGCATGGGTGGGACACTAGGAAACCCAGGTTGTAACTCAGTAGGCTCTTGAGTCTGTCTTCCTGTGTCACCCCAGTTCCTGGGGAGTGAGACGGACAGTGGGGACCTTCAAGGCCTAAGGGTGGATACAAACATGGTCGGATATGAATGGGAAAGGTCTACTGGAGGTCATAACGTTGGAAAGGCCCAAATTCTGTCCTTTATGGTGGGCTCAGGGACAGGAGGCGCTAGACCCTCGAGGGAAAAGGGTCAATGTATCCCTCAGCTGAAGTCCACTGTCCTGACCAAAGGAACAAAGCCCAGGTTATAAATAATTTCATTCTTTATTCTCTGTACAAAACTCGACCTACGAAAATAAAAGTTTGTAAAAGGCAAAGTAGCACATGAGCCTCTGAAGCCAGGATGCTGGCTCACCAAAATCTACACTATGTACAAGTCCTCCAGAAGGGAGAGAGGCCCTTGGGACAAGGCCCCCCTCAGCTTAGGAGAAACGTGCCTCTCCTTCCTCTAGACCGGTTGGGGGAGGGGGCGTGGCCCACTAAGTTATCTGCGGTCAGAGCCACAGACGGCTCCGTCCCTGCACTTCCAGGATCGGCCACCAGAGGTCACCACTATCCTGGCTGCCGCTTTCAGGTTGGGGCGGGGGCTGAGATGGCTGGGGACTTAGGTCCCCAAGCCTCCCCCTCCCCACCTCCCTCCGACACACACCCCGTCCCTCCCTCCTAGGCAGGAAACCAGGACGCTGAGACCAAGGCTTGCCGCCCAGAATCTAGCTGTTGGTGACGGTGGTTCCGCCGCCGAGGCGCAGGAGCATCTGTTGGCAGTCGTGCAGCAGCCGCCGATCGCCGAGCTTCTCGAGCGTGCGAGCGGCCTCGGCCAGCATGCCCACGCGCTGCCCAGGCGCCGACAGGAAGCCGGGAGGCAGGTAACAGGAGGCCAGCAGCAAGGCCTCAGTATGCTCCCGCCACGTGGGCCGGGGCTCAAGCTCCCCTGCCGCGCCTGCGCACAAGGAAGGGGTCCGCATCAGGGGCCGAGCTCAGGCCTGGCCACACCCCCTAGTGGGCGTGTCCGGCGCAGCCAAGGCCCCGCCCTGAGCTCGAGACCAGGCTTTGGACCTCCTAGACCTCCCAGCACACAGGTGTCTCAGACTCCTCCTCCACCCACCTCTACCCACCCCCCCCCACACACACACCCCTTCAGCCCTCACCTCTAGGTCCAAACAGATTGTCACACAATTCACAGTACTGAATCCCATAGTCAGCCCCAAATGATCTCTCAGGAAAGACTTTGCCATCAAGTAACCCAGTGCTTAGATGAGCCACACTGGGGGCTCGCAGCCTCCCTTAGTATCCACCCATCTGAGCTCTGCCCACGTGGGCAGGAAGGAAAGATAGGACTGCAGGCTCTGCCAGTCCCCCATTCTTCTATAATTATGGGCATCAGCCTCCTACCTCCTTTGCCACCGGGGCCTGCTCGCCTCCTCAGACTTCGGTCCAGGAGCTGGTGTGTCCGTGCAGGGCTGGCTCCTGCCATCAGCCGGGCTGTGGCCTCATGTAGGAATACCTGAGTGGGTGGGGCCAGGAGAGGCCAGGTTCAGGCCCTGTCCCCCCTCTCCCCTATATCTGCTGCTTCAAGTACCCACTGTGAGGTGAGGGGACACTGGCACTCACCCTCCGCATGGCAGGCCGGAAGTTCTGTGCCAGACGCCTCAGGCTGCTCAGGTCCCTTTGGAAGCCACGCAGCTCCAGGGCAGAGGCCTGGGGCCCGCTGCTAGTGCCCGGAGCTGCCTGCGGTGAGGCCAGTGGCTGCTGCTGTCGCCACAGGCTAGTGCGTACCACCAGGAGCAGGTCACACAGGAACAGCTGCATGGCCTGGGGTGGCAGGCAGGGCAGGGGTCATGGGGGGGGTTCCAGCTGCAGGAGGGGCAGGGTGGGGGCCCGCGGTGCCAGGGGCCGACTCCGGGCTGCACTGCCGAGGCACTGCACCCGCCTCACACACACATGCAATGCAACAGCAATGCACCGCGGGGCCGCCCGCCTCTCCAGGCCCCCACACCCACCTGAAAACAGACAGCCCCCAAGTGGTGCCAAGCATGCTGCTCACCACACCCCTCCTTCCTGGTGCTGCCAAAAAGGGCTAATCACTCTCCCCTGGACTTAAGCCTTAGCAAAAAGCAGTCAGCTGGATTCCCAGGCCTGCGTGCCTTGGCCTGACTCCAGATGACTGAGGAGCAGAAAGCTGTGACCCGGGCCCAGCCAGGCCCCCACCCCACCCCTTACCTTGTCAATGGAGCTGCTAGTTGGTGCAGTGGCCAGACTGTCCCACAGGTACCCACTGGCCTTCTCACAGATGGCCAGGCTGGCTGGACCAGGCTCTATTTTCCCACGGCCCAGCAGAGCTCGGGCAGCCTTGAAGGAGTGTAGGGCAGCCTTAGGCAGGGGTCTCCTGTTAGGTTCAGGGCAGAGAATGTAAGTCAGACCAGGCCACAGGCTCTCACTGGGCCCAATGCTCTGGTTCTGGATTCTCAAGGAAGAGCATGGTACCCCCTTCTGCCCAGAGCACAAGTTAGTGCAAGCACCCCAGGAGGGATGGCCTGAGGCTGGGGCAGAGGATCCAGCCATGCACCTACTCAGTCTCCTGCAGAGCTTGAGGCAGGTGCTCCACCAGTGGGTATAGCCGCTCAGCCGCCTCTTCATCCCGCTGCAGCCAGTGGATCACCACAGCTGTCAGGGAGGCCCACCACTTGGCCACAGGGTCAGTACCTGCATTAGAGGGAGGCACACTCTGACTCTCAGGCGCGCTACACCAGGGGCCTCACAGTGGCTGAGGGAGGAGTCTCAGGACTCACCGGTAGTGGCAACCACGCTGGAGCTGATGGAGAAGCTGCACGCAGGAGCTCCGGCAGCATCCGAGCAGCTGTTCAGCAGCTGCAGGTACCCAAGGGCATCTGAGAATTCCCTGGGGCAGGAAAGGACTGGCTGTGAGGACAGATGGTAGGGGAAGGGGGCCTGGGTGATGCTAGTCCTCCCCATCTGACCCCATGAGTCTGAAAAGGGCCATCATCACCTGCTTTCTGGCTGGCAGAGAAAGAGACCCAGTGAGGTCCCGAGGAGGTACAGCAAGTAGACAATAGTCTAGACTCTGGCCTTGGATGTGAGTGTTCCTAGATTCTACATTGGAGGGTCTTGCTAGGAGAGAGGTACTCACCTGTCCCCATCAGCTGACCCGGGGCTGGTACTGGAGCTAGGGCTGGGCTGGGCCACGCAGTTCAGCGCTCGCTCCAGGAGATGCTCACGGAATAACTGAGTCACCCGGGCCAGAGGGTCCACTGCAGGCAGGGATCATAGGTTGAGCGGAGGCACCACCCATCCTGTCACAGTCACCTTTCTATACCAGGCCAGCTTGTGGCAAGGAGCAGCCCTGCCACTACTCGGTAGAAAGTGGTGGCAAAACCCCAGCCCCTTGGGGAGGACATCACCAAAATAGGCAATATGCCTTTTTGTTGTTGTTGTTGGTCGTGGGGTTTAAACTCTGGGCCTGGGTGTTGTCCCTCAGCTCTTCCCTCAGCTCAAAGTAAGTGCTCTACCACTTGAGCCACAGCATTACTTCCAGTTTTCTGGTGGTTAAATTGGAGATAAGAGTCTCACAGACTTTCCTGCCCAGGCTGGCTTTGAACCATGATCATCAGATCTCAGCCTCCTTAGTAGCTAGGATTACAGGTGTGAGCCACCAGCGGCCGGCGCAGTGTGCTCTTACACAGGCTCCAAAAGGCAACCTGACTAAGCTTACACCTGCGAGGGCCCCACCCCTACCCGCTCCACAGTGCAGAGCTGCTCACTGCCTGCGATCTAGATGGCACCTCCAAAGAACCTCAGCGCCAGACCTCACAGGATGCCTGCTCCCACAAGCCCCACCCTACACCCCAGTGGAGCAGACCTAGGGACAATGAGGTAGAGAAGAGACTGGATGGGAGACAGGGACAGAGAAAGGGGACAGAGAGAGCACCTGGGTTCCCGGCCAAGCTGTAGAGACTCTCCCGAGGGGCACTGCGCACGGCCCAGTCCCCATCCACGAAGAAACGGTGGCCCACAGGGTGGCAGAGCCACTGCATGGCAAGAGGCATGGAACCACTCTGCGCTAGGCAGGCCTGGCGGGCGCTACTCAGGAAGAAGCGCTGTGGGGGAGGGGAGCTGGGCTGTCACACTGGACTCCAGGCAGGGGCTCAAACCCAGACCCAGGCTGAGACCCTCGTTGGGCCTGGAGGCCACCTGGTAACCAGCTGCTCCGTCCTGTTTAGCCCCTCCCCCAGAGCCACCTGGAGAAATACAAAGACAAGCCCCGGTCACCATCTCCCACTCACAGTCAGGAAGTGCAAGGCCCTCGGGAGACTGGTCTTGACCCTCAGGGCTGCCGCCACATAGATTTCTGCCAGCGTCGCCATAGACACAGCATTGCCTGCACACTCGGCTAGGTTCAGGGCACTCAATGCTAGGTTGGTAGCAGTGAGGTGCCCACCACTGTACTTCCCTGGAAAGCAGATGGAACATGAAGCCAGGAGGTGGCCGGAATTGGCAGGAAGGGAGCCTCTAGGCCCAGCTCTTGTCCCGTCCTACCCATGGCATGCAGCTGGTGCAGCTTATGGTAGACAAGGGCCGCGTCTCGGGCACTGGCGCGCACATCCGCCCTCAGGGTGCAGTCTCTCCGCAGGCCCCCGGCCTGGCTTGCCAGCCATCGGCCCACCCAGAGGCGCTGCAGCAGGTGGCGGATGAGGTTCCAGAGCAGGCTGCAGGCCAGGTCCAGGTGGGAGGTGGGCAGCGGCCGGCCCAGTGCTCGCAG